TAAAAAAAAAAAAAACCCAAACACATGCCCTTTGACCTAAAACTTGATTGCCAGGAATCTATCCTTCGGATACACTCACAAAGGTGTGTTAAACATACCCAGGAATATTCTTCATGTTCCAACCTAATATTTTCTAACTGGGAAAAACAGTAAACTAGTTAAAAGACATTATCTCAGCAATACACACACACACACACACACACACACACACACACACACACACACACACACTTAAACACTGTGGCTATTAAATAAAACAAGAAAAGAAAGTTAAGATGTATTGTGTTTGTAAATACAACTGTGTTAAAGCAGGCATTACACTGATACTGGTATGATTTAGGTTATACAGAAATAGAGAATTTTACTCTTGTATAGTCTTCTGAATTATTAGACTTTTTGAAATAAATGTACTGATACATCACTTGCTTTCAGAATATATGGACAATAAATAGTTCCAATGACTTTACACATTTACAATGGATGAACAGGTAAATACTATTATGTATATGGACAAAAATCTATTTCCATAATGTCAAATACAGTGGCACAAAACATATGCTTTTGGTTAGAGCACAGTAGGTAGAACCCATATTCCTAAGCGACCTTCCAGTGGGGGTCAACATTTAGGATTAAATAACTTGAAAACTGTTTCTAACAATGCATGATGGACCCACCCATCTTTGCTTCACAAGCCAATTTTTGTCTTCAGTTAGAGAAGCAAATTGTTCCACTGCTTTCTAGTGAAACAGTTTTGACCTATATTAACTGGACTGCCATTTAAGGCTAAATGATAAGCTTTATAAGCTGACAATTCCAACAGAAAAGATAACATTCAAAAAAAGATTCACACAGCAGCCTTCTTTCCTATGACAGATTTGAATTATTTTATGCTATAGGAACTTACGCAACAGAACAAATGATCCAGGGTGGTGTCACATACACGGGTATAATTGGGTGTGTGTGCGTGCGCGCAAGCCATGCTAGAGCCTTAAGCATTCTAGGCAAGTGCTCTGTTGCTGAGCAACATTCCCAACCTTTGCATTGCATTCTCAATACATATTCTGAAGAAGTGTATGTTACAGATTTTTTTTCTTTAAATTATATTCACGTAAGTCTTTCAAAAACATTGACTTATCCTGCTTTTATTTCAATTGCCTATTTCCTAGATGCTACAACTAAATCTTTAAATGGCACCAGTTTGGGGGAGGGGCTTTGTTTACATAGTTCATTATATCTCCATTAAACTATTTCTAACTTCAGGAATATAAAGTGTTTACCTTATTCACTCTTTTTCAGTTGCAAATGTATTTTTAAGACAAGTATTCTAATTGCCTTTTATTGCAAGGTCACACAATAGTTAGGTATTTTGAAAGTCAATTCAGGAGAAAAATAGAAAACTCTGGGTAAGTCAATTTAGGTGAGGTTAAGCTCAGCAGGCCTAAACACACAGACAGAGCCAACCACTAACCCCTCCAGAGTCCAACATTGTAATGTTAACAGCAAAGGACAAAAGACCCCTGGGGAGAAGAAGGAAGAGTAAGGGTCCTAACAAAAATTAGGACTGTGGTTCTTTCCTTAAGGCCTACTCCAGGGGACAACTAACAGGTTTAAAGATGTAAGGTCATTCCAGTCATTTGCATTTTTTCTACCCAACTAAAACTAGAGAGAAACACTTTGTTAGTAAAAAGCACTATATTTGGAAACAAAATTACCTGAAACTACACAATAAGGCTAAAGTTGTGATATTCTCTAGAAGGGCAGATCCTAACATGATTTCTGAGCATGGAAGGATGAGGTAGGGTGAGCCTGGTACAGGTTTACAAAGCCGGAACATCATAAAGGAAAATTAGTTGGGGCAGTGATGTGAGCAGCCCACAACCACACTGCAGGATGACCTCCTAGAAATTTTGCTGACAGGGATGGCCTACAGGAAGATGGGGATGGCCAAGGGCACTTTCACACACTAAGACCAAATTTCCAGCACAAAACACTAGTAACTTCACTTGGTAATTACCAATACACCAAAACAGCATTTTGGAAGGCAGCGCCAAGCCCTGTGGAATGCCTCTGAACTAGATTTAACCACTAGACTAGTAATTAAACTAACTTTATATGGGATAGTCCTGTTGCTCAAACGTGAGCTGTCTTGCTCATTTCAGGAAAGCAATTTTAGCACAAAAGTGAAAACAAGCAAAGTCTGAGCCTCAATTTCAGCTCAAACTATGGCTGGCAGCCGCTACTCACCAACTACAAAATCAGGATACCAAGGACTTCCAAGGAGCGTTAAAGAGGATTAAGATTAAGAGACAATGTGGAGATGAAAAGCACCAAGTCCCAGGCTGGTGTCATCTGCAGGGAGTTTAACAGTCTGAGCCTGTAGCAGCAAACAAGTTCCTACCATTCCAGCCATGGAGACAGCTCAGTAACAGTCATTGCCACAGCACCAAGCGCTTTTTACTAGACAGTCTGCCGAAAGCCCACCTGGCATCCTGTCAAAATGACAAGCTACCACATCGTAATACCTAAGACTTTAGAAAAGGAGATGTTTCCTCTTCTGCTTCATGATAAGACTGTTTACTTCTTATAGCTGGTAATAACCACAGATACCATGTTTACTGCCCAGTTATACAATGACCACCTTAAGTGATATTAAAAAACAAAAAAACTTGGACTGGAGAGATGGTTCAGTGGTTAAGAACACTGTTTGTTCTTACAGAAGACCTGGGTTCGAATCCCAGCATCCACATGGCAGCTAACAACGGTCCATAACTCCAGTTCCAGGGGATCTGATGACCTCTTTTGTCCTTGCGGGCATTGCATGACATGCATGCACTTACCTACATGCAGGCAATACACTCATACACATAAAATAAAAATAATAAAACACATCAGGGGCCTGCAAAATGTCTCAGTTGGTAAAGGCACTTGTCTCAAGCCTGGCAACCTGAGTCTGATTCCAGGAATCTGTATCAAGGTGGAAGGAGAGGACTGACTCCATAAAGTAGTTGTCCCCTGACTTTCACATGTGTGCCCACGTACCCCCCTCCATACACAAATCATTGAAAACATTCTCCCATGCACCCTGACATATTTATTCTTAAATATTGCATGTATCTCCTTCCCCCACCAAAATCAATCCCCATATGGAGCAGCACATTCTCTTTGGACCTTAGGAAGGCTTAGATCATCCGTTCTAGTCACATGGCCTTGAGGAGTACTGAGGACCATACAGAGCAGGTGGAAAAGGTTAATTCTGAGAGTAGGATCTCACGAATGCATTTCTGAATGTCAAAACTTATCACCTAAAGTTCTCTAAAAGCAGCACGATCAGGCTGAGGAGACGGCTCACCAGTTAAGAGCACTGGCTGTCCAGAAGACCCAGAATCAAATCCCAGTACCTATATGGTGGCTAACAATTGTCTATAACTCCAGTTCCAGGAGATCAACGCCCTCTTCTAGCCTTTGTGGGCATTGCCATGAAACAGGTACACTTACATACATGCATGCAATATACTCATATACATCAAATGAATAAATAAATAAAAAATTTTAAAGCAGCATCATCAGCTGTTCCCCACTGCAAGGGCCAGTCACACTCGGGATGAACAGGGAATGGGGGAGGAGAAAATAAATCGGTTATCTCCATGTTATGTGTGCATAGGGTAAAATTTCCAGGGCCAAGGAGCTCAGAAGTGCTTCATCTTGCATGGCTTGGGGTGAAATGAAGACAGTGTGTTCTGGAAATCCATGCGGACAGATGGTCCAAAAAGTGGATTAAGTAACAACAGGGATATGCTTTAAAATCCACATTAAAAATGTGAATAAAACATTTCCTGATCTGCACAGAAGAAAATATTAATTGTATATATTCCTGCATATATAAATTAAATTACTCTAAGCAGGCATTTGAATTTTCACCCTCTTTCCCTAAAGGCTTAATTCAAGTTGGTGTAAGACTTGCTTTTAAATTTTCTTACTGGAAACTTGGGAGCACTTTTTCTTAAAGCTTTAGCACTAGGTCTATATGCAGATGATCTCAGTATATCCCAGTATAACTCTGTGGTAGAAGAATCCAAAGAACACATTTCAAATATGAGAAAAATTGATATCATTCTGAAAAAACATTCTATAAGTGAAAAGGGAGCAAGATTTATATTAAGAGGCACCAACACAGAAAACTCATGCAGCATTAGAAATATGGATTAAGAAATTTTTGTTTTGGCTCTTCTCTCTTTCCTTACCTTGAGCTCAAGTCTATCCCCTCAAAGCTAGTGTTCTAGGATTCTTGTGCCTGTCTCTCGTGGAGGATAGCACTGAAATTTGATTTGGAGCTGTGGAGGTGTCTCAGTTAACAAAGTACTTGTCGTGTAATCATGAGGACCTCAGTTCAGATCCCCAGAGCCCATATCAAAAAGCAGTCATGGAAAACGTGCCCTATTAATTCCAGTGCTGGGAAGGGAGGTGGAGACAGGAGAGTCCTTGTGGCTCGCTGATCAGCCAGTCCAGCCAATCCCTGAGCTCCAGGTTTAGTGTCACAAAAAATAAGGTGGAGAGTTTTGTAGGAACAATGTTGACCTCTGGCCACCACATGCATGTTTACACATGTCCTAGCACACCTCCAATTCACACACACACACACACACACACACACACACACACACACACCTCTAACAAAACAAATCAAAGGTTTTTGTATCAACAAGAGTCTGAATAAAGTTGTAGCCAGTAGCTGAGGCCAGTGTTGCTGTAGAGGCTTGTGCTGAACACCTCTATCCGGCACCTCCCCCACCACAGTCATTCGGGATCTGTGCATCTATCAGGGCAGTCTGTTGGCAGATGGCAGGAAGGCATATTTCCCAAATGACATGACAGTGCCCTATGGGTTCCAGCAGAATGTTTTTTCAAGGTGCGGAAATGGGAGAAATGAATTTCTTCCAGAAGAACAGTTACGGGTTTATGATGAAAAAAATAATTAAACAAAGGAATAAAAGAAAAGTTACCTTGTAGATGCCAAAGAATCCCAGGTCTCGAACGACAGACAGAGCACTGACCCTGGGGCCGGTGGTGATCTCCCCCGCCACTTGCAAGCGGATCTTAACGATCTCTAAAGGGTTTGTGAAAATCACCTGGGAGCCTCCTGCCTAAAGAGAGAAAAGAAGATGTAAGGTCAAAGCTGAGGTGTAGTAATGGGCCAAAAGAGATGAATAAACACTTTCAATAAAGCTGAGGACATTCTGTCTTCATGAGATGACAGTTTCAATTCTTGCCCATCAGTTAAGATAGCTGGTGGGCCAGCAAGGTGGCTCAGCAGATTAAAGTGCTTGCCACCAAGCCTGAGGATCTGAGATCAATCCCTGGGACCTACAAGGTGATAGGAGAGAAGTGACTTCTGCCAAACTGTCCTGTGACCTCCACACACATGCTTTGACACATACATGCCCCCCCCATACACACATTCATATAACTAAATGCAAGGCGTTGGGTTTGATGCTAACCAGCACCAGGAAAAAAACAAAGGTGATTCCTTGAATCACAAATAACCACTACCACAACATCCCAAGCCTAAGGTGCAAAGGCAATAATAAAACTAAAGCAAAATAATAAAATAAAAGTCAATCAGTACTTGAATAAACAGATATGAACCTCAATTTGGAGGGACAAGCAGGATGCCTGCCTCTTACATCACAGATTTCATGATTCTTGCAATGATTCAAAACTTGCCAAAGACATGTAAAAACAATCTTAAGAAAAACAGAAGGATTTGAAATACCAATTTATGGAATTACTCTTATAATTTTATCCATGTATATACAGAACTACTCTTTTCATGTATATAAATGGTATGTCAACATAGTAAAGATACGCATGAAATCTATCACAGTCCAAACTTTGAGCACTGTGTGCTCATTCAGTCTAGCAACCGCTATATGCCACACCTTCAAGATCATGAGTAAAACAATGAAGTTATCTATGGGACAGAATTGTTGAGGAAGACTCACTGGGATGAATTAGCCTAAGGGCTGATTTCTCTTTCTACCTTTTTCTCAGAGCAGAAAGAATAGTTGTCTGCATAAACACTGCAAGGGGCAGGGGGCTGGACAGTAATTAGAACACTGCCTATAGCCTGAGGGCTGACTTATCAATGCTCAAATGAGAGATAGAATGCAGCAAGTCCTCATGCCAGCCCAGCCACAGCAGGTAAGGAGGCAGCTGAGCTCTCATGTGAAGACTTAGCCTCAGGTCCCCTCTCTGTCAAACCACCTCATTTACTAAAAAAAAAAAAAAAAGAAAACAAAGAAACCCAGAGCATCCATCACCACTTAGTACCCAGGGCAGAGCAGTTTCTTTCCCTTTCTCACAAGGTGGTAGTTCTCCCCTAGGTCTTGTCACAATCACCTGCAGAGCCTGTAAACAGCAGTGACTCCCGGACACCATGCTAGATAACTAAGTAAGAATCTCTGCACATGCAATTGTTAAATTTTTTTCTATGTGATAAGCATACAGATGAGTGAAAAATCTTCACTATGCAATCTTTAGGATGCCTGTCAATTCCAAGTTGGTTTCCTCTGCTTCTTTAAAAGCTATGATTTCTAATTCTAATCTTCCATATTATTTCAGAGAGCGGTTTTTATGTTTTACTTCTGATCTCATAGCCAAGTGGTACCATTATCAAAGGTATAATTTTTAGGCACAGAATTGTCTCATCTTATTTCTTTACTAATACCTATAAAAGTTACCAATATAGCCAATAAAAGAGGAATTTACTCTCAACTCCCCATCTCCAAGTCACTCAATAGATACCAATTCTTTAAAAACAGCAAACCATTCTGCATGCTAAGGATGACACAAGAGAAAAATATACTTCAGAGGGCTATAGGGACTAAATGCATCAGGAAGAAAGTGGAATGATTCCAGAAAAAAAGTAATCATATACCCCTAACCTCTGGTGGACTCAGAAAGAAAGAACCCACAGACCCAAAGTGGCATGCTGTGAAGGTGTCAAAGATGAAACAGGTCCTTTGGAGTCAGGTTGGAAGGAAATGCGAGACTCCAAGGCACCAAGAGAAGATGCTTATCGTTAGAGACATAGTATCTGGGCATCACCACAGCTTGATCACGGCACAGCACACTCAGTGCCTGCTGCTCTGCAGCTCCTGCTCTATTGTCCATTCACAGCATCTTAGCCACGTCTCTCCACTGCAGAGATCAAAGATACCTGGATGGGCAGACAAGGAACAGGAACACCTATTGTACACAAAGTCTTTGTGTCCTTCATCACTTGAGAGTTCTGGCTGTGTGAAGATACTGGCTTTTGTGTGTGCATGATTTTTGTCACAAATCATTTTCCGAGACGTTGTGGAGCCTGTGACATGACTGACAAGGAAGTTTTCCATACTGAACTTGTGGTGGCATATTGTATTTACAGTGAGGGCACTGATTTCTCTGTGTCTCCTGCTATAGCTTGTGTTCCTGGTTCTATCTAAAAAAGAAACACAGCCTCGCTTCTGCTGCTAGAACACTCGTTCATATAGTTGTTCTCTAAATATTTATAAGCAATCACATCCCAAGTTTGTGCTAAGAGCTGGGTACGGTGCTACACTATCTGTAATCCTAGCACTTGGGAGGTAGAGGCAGGTAGGAGGACAAGAGTTCTTAGGCTACATAGAGTTTGAGGCCAATCTGGGCTATAAGAGATCCTCTTCTCAACTTCCCCACCTCCCTATAAAAAAGAACAAAGTTCATCCTAGGAGCTACAAGAGCATGTGAGAGAGAAAGCATTCCTGCTCTCAGGGAACTTGCAGTAAGAGTAGAAGTAATGGACTTCCATTTAACATCCTTACAGAGGATTGGGCTTGGCTTTGAATGTATTTATTCTTATAAGCTGAGGAAGTTAAACTCAGACACGAAAGGGTACAGAGAAATGACCATGTGAGGACACAAGGAAAGCTGGCCCAGCACTTGGGAGGTTAAGGCAGGAAGATTCAGACTAGGTTACACAGTAAGTTCCATGATAGCCTGGGCTCTACAGTGAGACTAATGTCAATAAACAAAACAAAAGGGACACAGGGAGAGAGCAGTCATTTTCAGCCAAGGACAGAGGAGGCTGCAGAGAAACCAACACTTCCAGAACCCTGATCTTGGCTTTCCAGCCTCTAGATAAGCGAAAGAAATGCATTTGTTGTTCAAGCCACTCAGACTGTGGTGTTTCACCTTGGTGTCCCCAGAAAACTGGCACAGCAGTTTACCCAAGCCTACACAGCAGCAAGCAGAGGAAACTGGCATGTGAGGGAAAGAAAAATATCATTATGACAGAGCTAAGGGCCAACAAGCTGGTATGACAATTGAAAAGAAGGCAAGATCTTTCCTACCTGGGATGTTCTGGAACGTGTGAAGTATATAAGATGATAAAATGTTAGCTGGCATGGGTTCACAGGTGTCTGGCCTTTGACACCGAACACGACACTATCAACTGCAAAGTTCAAGCTTGAAAAATGCACAATTGAGTTAAAAAAAGAATCACTTAGTGCTTTATGTTTTCATGTTGGGCTACATGTGGCCCAAGGGCCATGGGTTGCACACAGCAGGTAGTGTGAGCAAAAACAGCAAAGTCAGTGACAAGGGCATGTCATGCTTGTCCAGTAACACACTCACAAAACCACATCTGGTGAATGAAATTTCAGTAAGGGTGATAATTATGATGAGTTTTACATCACCCACTACAAGTTACTGAGACTGGCTATATACCAGGTATTGTGTTAGCAGTGTATAGCAGTATGTGGATAGGGGCTGTTCATGATATTTTGATTTGTGTGAACAAACTAAGGCTAAGAAGAGGAAAGGTGATTTGACTTGCATGGGGTCACACAGCTAGGAAGGCAAGGATCAGATTCCAAGCTAAAGTTACTGGGAATGGGTCTGAGTAGGTATCTTTTTTTGTGGGGGTGAGGGCGCAGATAGGGTTTTACTACCTAGCCCTGGATGGCCTGGAACTTAATATATAGGCCAACCTGGCTTCTTACAGAGATCTGCCTGCCTCTAACATCCTCTCCCCCAGTGCTGGATTTAAAGGCGTGCTCCACTACACCAGGCTCATATTAATACTTCTCGTTATGTCAGTAAGGCTTTGTCCAGAATGCTTGGCTCCGAAAGAGAAAGGCCAAAGAAGAGACTGCTGAGCCAAATCATCAACCGACTGGGCCACTACCCTAAAGGTCTGGCTGCAGGACTAATGTGGATTAATTTGTGTAGGTAGAGGACAGGTGAACACAGCTTAAGAACTGCAGAGGAATAGCCAAAATTCAGGAAGAGGCCTAGCCAACAAAGAGGAACTGAATTTACAGGGTGCTAATTTGGGAAAGAGGGGCCTGAGCCAAGGGTAACAATTAGGGTTTTAGCAGACTGAGTGAAAGATAAAAGGAGGGAGAGATAGGTAATCGATGTAATAGTGACCAACAGGTTTGGATGCAGAATGCAAGGCAAGGTCAAAGGAACTAATTTTTTTGCAGCTGTTTCACAAGAGCAGATAATTATAAAGAAAAATATAGCAAAGATAGGAAGAACGGTGAGTAGGGAGAAAAGAACTGAGACACATGAGGGCATACCCCACTTTAAATCACGGCAGGAGTTTGGACAGGGAAGGAAGGAGAACAGAACTACAAACAAGATAGGTGAGAGGCCCAAGAAGTGATTGGGAAAGAGCTACACAGTAGTGTCCTGGAAATCTAGGCAGAAAAGTCAAGAAAGGGGCTCCTGGAAAGGAGTAAGTGAACCAGCCAAGATCTGTAGACACCAGGTAAAGTCAAGCCAAGAGGTATGATGTGAGGGGACACAGAGGCAGAGAGAGCTGTGGAGTCTACATTTTCAGAGGGGGGAGTGGGAAAGTGATTGTTGTTATGAGAGCAGGGCGGGGGGGGAGGCAAAGAGTATGTACAGTAGGTGGGGGGGGGGGGGGGGGGGGGGGGGGAGTCAATGAGTATGTACAGTAGTTATGAGAAAAGATCTAGTGTGAGGAGACGAAATAATTATTCATTGCTTCAGGAAAATGGCTGTAATCTCCCAGAGCAGAAGACCAAAAAATGAAATCTGAAGGTTTCCTGTCATGACATAGGCCTGGGGCATGAGTCTAATTTTGCTGCTGGGC